CGGCATTCAAATGCATGGTTCTGCTATCAGAGGTGAGAGTGCTCACACTTTCTTTGTCATCAAGTGCTCACCACTGTTGAAAACTATGTTTTTACACATTGACCCATTTTTACATATTAGACGTAGATGTGTTTGGCTTTACCTCAGATCATTTGAAAAGTGTGGCCCTTGTGCCTAATTAAGAGTCAAAGCTTGAACGTTGCAGCCAGTTAAGAATGCTACAGGAATGCTGATCTCCCTGCTCAACATTTGTTTCTGTTTGGCAATTGTCATCTGAAAGAAGGGGGGAAAAAAATCAAAGTTTGGAAAAATATTTGTCAAAAAACTTTGCCGGGCAAGGCCAACGGGGCTAGCGAATGCTGATGTTAGTGGTCTGTAACCCCCAGCAGGTGCAGCGGCAGGGATGAAGTCCGAATTTGGAAAAGTGCACTTTTGCATTGCTTGCTCTCTAGCAAGAACAGACACCCGAGTTGAGCACCCTGGGTCTTCCAGAAACGCTCTCTTCAGAGGTTTTCATCCAGCCATTTTATGTAGCTGTTCCTGGTCTGAACGCCCGCAGAGAAATCAGTAGGCCAAATGGTGAATATCATACAGCCATGAAAGCAGTCATCGAAGTGATCGAGCGTGACTTCCACGCCGGCGTTCTCCAAGCGCTTGGCGTACATCACCCCGTCATCTCGCAGGACGTCATTCTCACAGGTCAGGATGTAAGTCTTTGGCTGCAGCTGCAGAGTTTCATTTTCTGCGAGGAGTGGGACTGCTCGTACATCAAGCAGCGCTGGTATCTCCTCGACGATGTCAGCCTTGCCTGTGGTTTGTATTACAGGCTTGTAGTTCTTTTTGAACGATGAAGGCAGTAGAGATGTCCAGTTCAGCCGTCCTCTGAAAGAAAGAGCTTGGCCAACGTCAAGAGCAGTGTGGTTGTTAATCAGCAGTGAGTGAGCCAAGTCATAATTACCATTGAAATAATCTATCCAATAGTTGATCATGACATAACGAGGAAGAACGGGCATATTCATGTTCTGCTGATAAGAAGGTGTATTGAAGTCAAATGCCTGAAGGACTGGATAAATTAATGCTTGCAGTTTCGGTCTGATGGTCAAATGCTCATCTTTGCTAAGCTGTGGGAAGAGTATAGGATGGAATTGGGATTATAAAGAAAATAAACATTGCAATATCAACCTGGAACTTCATACAAGCAACCATTCATTTGACAATTTTTACACTGAATTCTGCTATTACACAGATAATGTTGCTCTTTTCTCTTAAATATTAGCACCCTGATCTTTTCCTTCTCTTGTAAGGATGGCCAGTCAGGCAGACCCAGTATCCTGTCTCCAACAGAAATCAGTGGCAGAAGTTTACTGAAGGGTGTAAAAAAGAATAAAAAAAAAAAAAGTGTAAAGTGGCATTTTGCTAATGCAGTTCCCAGTTTAACAATTTGCAACTGAAGAACTTCCTGAATCATAAGGGCTCTTCTTGCTTTTAACAGTTTTTCATGGATTTTTCTTACATGAATTTATCTAATTATTTTTTTGAACATATGCAAGCTGCTGGCATCCACAGTTTTATCTAGCAAAGGCTCACCACGTACAGAAGCACCTCTGTGTTTGATTTGAACCTGCCATCTGCATTTGATTTGAGCTTACGAATTATAAGTTTGGTGACCCCCTAATGTTTTCCTGAAAGAATCAGCAAACACTTGTTTTGCTCTATCTTCTACACAAGATACACAGTTCTCTATCATATCTCATCTTGTCCGTCTCTTTTTCAGGCTGAAGAATCTTAGTGATTTAACCTCTCCCTGAAACAGTCCTACGTCACTGTTTTAAAAAGAATTACGCATCAGGGAAACGAATTAGGAATGCTGCTTCCAAAACGTGATACTATCATGTTTATCAGTCCTCGACATTGAAACTTTTAATGTAATTGTCCCCTATCAATTTTTTTGCCCTAATTCAATACTGCAAGGTTGTCATGATAATTAGTTGCCTAGACACGGCATCCGCTTTCTTATCACCAATGGTTATGGCAATACAAAAAAGCTAATAATAATATTTCACTCAACTATGGAAAATATTATTACTTGCCCCAGGCTGCCTTTAAAATCTTTACTAGATTAAATTCAGATTACATTTAAACTGCAGATATACAAAAGAAATGTCCTTAAAATTGTGAAATGTTACAGGAAGACAATTTAACAGAAGAATTAAGTTTCCTTTATTGTATTCTTTGTCCTTCATCTGTATTTGGAAGAAATAAAAACATATTTTCAGAGATAAGCATCTAAAAATAGGAAGCTAAATTGATAAATTACACATGTACCTAGTTACCTACTTCGAAAAATAAAGAATTCACCAGCAAAAGGGGTAAAAAAAGTCATTTAGCTACTTGTTCTTAAAATCTGGCCCATAACAACTCAGAACTGTAGTAAGACATTGCCAGCTATGTGATTGGGATTGAGTCGTTTTTCTTCTGTAAAGTGTCTATGGGCTGGCTTTCCACCATTCTGTCTTTAGGGTTGGCACATCACCTTGTGATGATGCAGCACAAAGAATCTGTCAACCTATACGCATCACTAAATTAGAGATTGTTGCAGTGTAATATTTAACAGACACTGGATGTTACCTGCTGACACACAGCAGCTGCCAAATTTCCTCCTGCACTATCGCCAGAAATTGCAATTCGGCTTGGGTCAACTGAATACTCAGCTAAGACATCAGGCTGCAAAAAATGCTTAGTAGCACGCAGAGCATCATGGAATTGCTCGGGGAAGCACACCTCTGGTACCAGCCTGTACCTACAAAAGAAAAGAGATGACAGACAATTATTATCGTCAGCATACCTCTCTTTCAGGATTAATAAGTGATATCAGGTATTCCTTAATAGCAAGTAACTACCTCATTAGGATAACTATTACGGGAAAAATCCGAGGTCTGTAATAGTTTTGTAAGACTTAATCCTATCATTAATATTCTAATGCTGAAAGATTAATACAAACCTATTAGATATGAATAATACCAAGATCTTCCAAAATTGTGCTGCACTTTCGTAGGATTTCCCAGTAGAGGATTTCATCACACATTATAAAAGTTAATGAATATTTAAAACACCCTTGGCAAGGGAGTCATTACAATCAGGCTGTTTTTGATCCAAATCCCCACCTTAACTAGTACAAGGGAGAATGTATCATATATGCCCAACAGATTCCACTGAGCCAAACACCTAGGCAGTTCTGTTTCCTGAATTTTCACTTGTGCTCAGGAAAGAATGAACCTTGCTATAGCTCTGTGCCATGAAATGAACAATACCCAAGAAGTGAAGTCATACCAGTTTGTTCCAATGCAACAGATTGAATAATTCCTTTCCTTTATTGAGGACAGGAATAGGAATATACCCATTGCACAGGTGAAGAGACTGAGGCACAGAGAGACAAAACAGTCTGCCCAGGAGGAGCCAGCAGCTAAGTCCCATTCGCAAGATTTTCTCAGTTTCAAAATAACAGTGCAGAAGAAGTCTGTTCATATTTACTGAATAATATGTAATATAAGAGTTGTTACTAGGCCTTATGTTACAAAGTATGTCTTCTGTTTGTAGCTTTTCAGCCAACAGATTTTACATATTCTCAGCAGAGCTGAGCAAAACAAGCAAAACAAAATCCAGTTTTCTGATTCAAAATATTTTCTTTAGAATCTAAGCTAAAAAAGTTTCATGTGCAGAATAAATTTTAAACCTGGGTTACACAAAAAGTGTTTCAAACTCCAAATCTGACCTGCTTTCAGAAAGCAATCTATGTTTAGATTACATCAACGACAAGGGAATATGAGAGAGTCCTTTGGGAACTACTCGCAAAACTGGATAACAGACTACCAGTACTTGGGGTGGACCTGCTGGAGAGCAGCTCTGCGGAAAGGGACCTGGGTGTCCTGGTGGATGACAGGTTGACCATGAGCCAGCAGTGTGCCCTGGTTGCCAAGAAGGCCAATGGGATCCTGGGGTGCATTAAGAGGAGTGTGGCCAGCAGGTCCAGGGACGTTCTCCTTCCCCTCTACTCTGCCCTACTGAGGCCCCATCTGGAGTACTGTGTCCAGTTCTGGGCTCCCCAGTTCAAGAAAGATGAGGA